CCGCCTTCCTCTCTCCCTGCTAATGTCATCACCATCTTCATCGTCAGAGGCCTTTATGAGGCGCCTTGGTTCATCTGTCCCGGCCCTGGGGGGGTCTCCGGCAGAGACCACCCCACCAGCCCCTGACATCCAGGGCTTGTCGGCTTGGACAGGCAGCACACATGTCAGCCAACCACGAAGGCATCTGGAGACCAGGCTGCAGGCCCCAGGGTGCGAAGCCAGATTCTTAGGCAACATTCATGACAGGAGTAGGTGTGCCTGGGAGTGCAAAGACGGGCTGGATCCCCAGAGGGAGTCGGGGCCCTAAATCCTTTCCGAGAGCTGGCTGCAGGCTTCTTGAAGGACCAGGGGTTTCGAAGCTGTGGGAAGGGCTCGGGGTCGCGTGTCCCAGGCCCAGCCGGCGAGAAAGCTGGATGCTAGCGGACCTGTGCCTCCTGAGGCCTTCCCACCTCGCCCACCTCACCCGGCTGCCCCTTTGTCTCCCCCTGCAGGAGTTCCATGAGCAGGGTATCCTCTTTGGCTACCGACATCCACAGAGCTCCGCCGCTGCCTGTGTCCTCAGCCTCTTCCAAATGACCAATGAGACCCTCAACATCTGGACGCACCTGCTGCCCTTCTGGTAACTCCCCGCCCCCTGACCAGGCGTCTCGATCAGGAGCCTGGGAACCGGGGCTTCCTTAAACACAGTCGGGGCTGAGAGAGCTGGGGTTCCCCGCTGGGGTTTGCGGGACTCCCCCATGGGGCGTAGGTGTGAGTTGGGAGATGCTGGGGTCTCCCGCTGGGGTGAGCTCTAGGGCACAAATTGTAGTCGGATTTGAGGGGCTCCTGGCAGCTCCCCCGTCTTTCCCTGCTCCCCTGCTTCAGGGCCTGATTTGATAGCATTGTCTTATTCAGGCTTGGAGGCTTTCTGGAGCCTCTGGAGGCCCTAGTTAAAACTCCCCAGCTTGAGCAAGTCCCTTAACCTCTCCGAGCTTCACATTTTCCCACCTGCAAAGCAGCAGTGATAGTCTGCGCCCTTCCCAGGGTTGCCCCGAGGGTTTCGGGAGGAGACATTGGGAAAGGACACAGGGTGCTGGGTGCCCACGGTGGCCATGAGGCGTGCGGTCAGGCAGCTCTTTGATGGAGCCAGCAGAGCACGTAGGCACAAGTGAGAATTGGCAGGAGGTGAGGAGGGGCTGAGGAAGCTGGGGCTGGAGGCCACCTGCACACACCTGGGCCTGTGCATAACGAGGGGGGTGGAGTCGGGGTCAGGGGCCGAGTCATAGTGCATCAGAGTCAGCAGGCCCTCAGCGGTCACTCAGACCGGCCGCTGCTGACCGTGGCTTGCTCACGTCCCCTGGCCAGGTCCTGCACAGGCTGGGCTCGGACTCCGTCCCGCAGGGAGCAGTAAGAGGGTCTGTCAGGCACGTGCAGCTGCGGGGCCTCTCTTACTCCCCCTCCTGCCCTTTTCCAACCTGAGAAGGACCCCACTCACCCTCCCTTGCTTGTGGCACTGACACCAGAGTGAGACCACCCCAGGGGAACAGAAGGCAGACGACTGCCGGGTCGGGACTGTGAGAGGCGCCCCGGCCCGGGAGGCTGAGGGCCCCCTGTGTTCCAGCTTCTTCACGTGGAGGTTTGTGAGCGTCCTGCGTGCGACGGACATCCTGAACGACAGCTACTCCTGGCCCCTGCTCGTGTACATGGGTGCCAGCTGCGTGTACCCGCTGGCGTCCAGCTGCGCGCACACCTTCAGCTGCATGTCCGGGAACGCCCGGCACATCTGCTACTTCCTGGACTACGGCGCCGTCAGCCTCTTCAGCCTGGGTACGTGCGGCCTCTCCCTCCCCCGGGACCCCGCCGCCTCCCGCCCTTCCCCCTGCGGCTGTGGGTGACAGCAGTCCCAGCGCATGGCCCAAGTTCCTGACGAGCCAGGAACTTATATATTTATAAGGAACTCGTCCGAAGGTGTGCTGGCAGGTCCTGAACGCTGGCTGGCTGAACAAGAGCCCTGGGCCGTGTGTGAGCCGCCGCTGTGGGGTAAACCCCGTCCCGCTGGCGCTGGCGGCGTGAACAGGGGTGGGGGTCGACGCGAGGCGGGGCCCCGGGCACGGCAGGGCCTCTGCGCAGGCACAGTGGGCTGAGGACTTACTGCTCCCCCGACACGATTCCTCTAATTGTCGGCTGACGTCATTTAAGTTTTAATCATTGTTAATGATTGAACAGTTCTAACAGTGGACTTGCAAGTTCTCTGACACTTTAACCCCCTCTGTCGCAGGCCAGGGGCGTCGTGCTGGCCTCCGGCTTGCCCAGCAGAGGAGGCGTGGCCACGGACCCTGCTTGCTGAGGCGGGAGGAGCGAGCCCTTGGCTCTAAGTGCTCCCGGAGCAGAGTGGGGGGGGGTGACACCCCAGCCTCCTGGTGTTTCCCTCTAAGTGATGCCCCTCCTCCTGTCTGCTCTCCGCCCCCACCTTGGGCATCGTCTGTCCCCTCTCGCCCCAGTTCTACCCTCTGCCTCCCTCCTTACCCCACTGCAGGTGTGAAAGCAAAGTCCCCATCTTCCCTCAGCCAAGAGGGCGTGCGAGGAGCCTCCCTCCCTCCTCTTCCCCACCCCTCCTCTCCCCCCTCACTGGTTACACACGCGTACACGCACACATACACACACGAACGTGTGCACATGTATCTGTACACACGCACACAAGACACATTCACACACATGCACGCGTGTCCACAGACGTGTTTATGCGCACGCACGTGCGCACATGTGCACACATGGACACACACACACAGTCTTCACTGCCTGCCCTCCCACTCCTCAGTGCTCTGCTGTCTGGTCCCCGCTGTTTGATGGATCTCTGGCCGCTGAGGCCCCGGTCTCCTCCCGACCACCAGGACCAAGCCTGTGGCGCGGGGCCCCCCGTGCTCTGGAAGCCTGCCTCCTTTTCTCTGGCCCCGTGTAACATGTGTATCCCCCTCTCCCAGTCCTCCTCCCACTCGGCTGTCTTTGCGTCCTGCTTTGATGGGCCCCTTCCTCTGCCCTCCTCCCTGGCTGGGTGAGCTCAGAAGCCATCCCCGGGCCCCTGCTCTTCCGTGGCCAGGCCCCCTGGGAGGCCTCCTCGCGCCCACACGCCCCCCTACACCTCTGGAGGAGGCCCTCATAAAGCCTCTCTCTAGTCTAAGCTGCTTACCTGAGGTCCCCGCCGCATCCGGCCCTGAGGCCGAGCCGCTCCACACCCTCCCCACCCCACCCTCCGCGTCAGAAACCTGTGAATGACCCTCACCTCCTCCTGCCACTCCCCCTCAACACCCACCACCTCTGCCATCCTGCCCGATCAGTGGGCAGGCTCCATTGCCTTTCTCCTCAGTACCTTTCGGACCGGCTGTGCCCCCGTCAGCTTGGCTCACACACTCACACGTCTCCCTGGGTCGTAGCCACCTGCCCTGGGGAGGCTTCCTCAGCGCCTTCTGACCAGGGCACCCTCCCACTTACACTCCCCTGGCTCCCGGTCACCTGGGTGCGCTCCGTCACCCAGCGGCGTGCAGAGCTCCTGCTCAGCTGCCCCCAGCGCATCTTGACGGGAGCAGGTGCCTTGGGGCAATCAGTACGCCGCAGGCTCCGTGCTGAGCGGCTGACACATGACCAGGGGCCCGTGGTCCAGCTGCCACCACGCCCTAGAGGTTGCATGCTCTCGGCAAGTTTCTCACCCACGTCAAGCCTCAGTTCCCTCACGCGCAGAATCAGCACAGCAGCTGCGTCACGGGAGTGTCGGGAAAGTTAAGTACGTTTGTAAGTGAGCAGCTCGGACAGGCCTGGCGCTTAGCCAGCGTCACAAGGTAGCAACGACCCCAGTTGCCAAGGGAACCGCGGCAGCAGTCCACGGACGCAGGGGCTGCCTTACGCCCCTGCCGTAGGTGAGGACAGCAGGCACAGGAAAGGCGGCTGCCCGGCCACGCAGCCCGTAATGACGGAGCCAGGGCCGGAGCCAGGGCTTGGCCGTCTTAATCCCCCACCCAGAAACTTCCAGTGGCTTCTTCCTGCCTGAAAGGGCAAATTCCCTTTCCGTACCCTGGCGTCCAAAGCTGTCTCCTGCTCCTGCTCCCTGGAAAGCCCCTCCGCCCTCCGGCCCCTGTCAGGACCCCCCGTCTTCCGAGGTGTGCCGCTCTGCTGCCTGCCCGCTCGCCCCCAGTGCCCACCTCAGCTGGAACCTCCGGGGGGCCCTCACTGATTCCACTTCCCGCTGCAGCTTCTGGCGAGGGCTGAGGCTCCCTTGCTCTTGCAGAGCCGTGGAGCTCGGCCTCGGGTAGTGTGCACGGAGCGGGAGTGTCCGGGTCCAGTGGGGACCTCTCCCGGTATCAGGCGGAGGGAAGGGGCCGTCTGTCCTCCGAGGCGGTTCCCAGCTGAGTCGCACAGGCAGCCTGCGGGAGTGGGGAGCTCTGTGCCAGCAGGTGGCGGTTCCCGGCCCTCCCGCCTGCTCAGCCTCGGGCTCGTCACTTACAGCCCAGCTGTCAGGCGGGATCAGGGGCAGAGGTTGAACCTGTGCAGCCTGAGGCCTGCTTCAGCCTTGAGCTGGGATCCCAAGATTCCAAGGTCTTTGGCTAACAGGTGACCCCAGTTCTGGTCTTAGGCCCTGGGCTGGCAGGTCTGCACTGCCTCTCCCCGAGGGGCCTCAGCAGCTGACAGGACCAGGGAGGCCATCAGGCCCAGGCCCCCGGACACCTCTGGCCCCTTTGAAAAGGACAGTTACCACTCCTATTCTTCCAAATAAAAGCTGCAGCAGGCACGCCTCTAGAAGGTCCTTCAGTCCCTTGCCCTTGCCAGCTCCAAAACCTAAAACAAGATAAAACACCCTGGCTAGCTTCCCACGCCCAGCCTCTCAGCTGGCCGGTCCCCGGCCTCGCCCCGGCGAGGCCCTCCCCACCTGCAGCCTTGACCGTCCCCGGGAGCGCCTGTGTCCTTCGGGCAGGCGAGGTGTGCACACTCAGAGCAAAGCTGAGTGCACTGGGTGTCGGCATGGACCAGAGCATGTGGGCAGAAGTAGGCAGCGTCGCCAAACTGCCTGCGCTTGAAGCTTGGCTCTGCTGCTTTGTAGCCGTGTGCTCCTGGGGGGTTACCCACGCTCTCTGTGCCCCCACTCCCTCACCTGTAAAATGGGGCCACGTGCAGGATTGGTGTCAGAGAGGGGCTGCAAAGATGATATGAGTTTATACATGTCAAGCCCTCGGGGCCATGCTGCACTCAAGGACCATTCCCTGGGTAGGATCTGGGTAGGCAGGGGAGAGAGGGGGGCGTTCTGGGAGGGGCGATGGCGCAGGCGAGGGGGAGCGGCAGGCCTGCTTGCGGTCTGTGGGGCGGGCAAGGGCTCGGCCAGGTGCTGGGGCTGGTCTCCCCAGGGGCCCAGGCGGTGCCGAGTCCCGGCCTCCTGCCCAAGGCTGCTGTTTCCCCAGGCTCCGCCATCGCCTACTCGGCCTACGTGTTCCCGGACTCCCTGGTGTGCAGCACCTTCCACGACTACTACGTGGGCCTGGCCGTGCTGAGCGCCGTCACGAGCACCGGCCTCTCCTGCTACTCCAGGTACCGGCCCCGCGTCTCAGGTGGTACGGGGTGGGGGGCCGAGCAGGCAGCTGCCCGGACGGTCGGAGGGCACGGTGGGGAGGAGGCACCCGGGGCTTGTGGCTCACAGGACCAGCTTCTCGGCCACACAGCCTGTGCAGGCGCTCAGGGCCCCATGACCGAGAGGGCTCCACGCTTGGTTCAATGCCCTGCTGTCGTCATCTTGAAATCCTGAACGACTTTTGAACAAGGGGGTCCCCTCCTTTCCTTGTGCTCTGGGCCCTTATGCCCTTTCCTTGTGCTGGTGCTGTTGCTGGATGGGACGCTTATCCTCCTTGAGTCTCAGTTTGTTCATCTATAAAATGGGGCCAACACAGCTCCCCTGAGAGCCGATGTGAGGATTACAGGTAATGTACCGGAACACTCAGCACGCAGAGGAGGCGCCCAGAGCTGGCCATCCTGCTGCCAGGGACTGGGAGGGTCTGCCTCTGGATACAGGCGCTTCTCCGAGACGCCGTGGGTTTGGCTGCAGACCACTGCAATGAAGCGAGTCACACGAAATGTGTGGTTTTCAGTGCGTGTGAAAGTGTGCGTGCACTGTGCGGCAGCCTGTTAAGTGTACAATAAATAGCATCATGTCTGAAGGAACGAGGTGCACTCCGTAAGCAGAGAATACTTCGTGCTAAAAAATGCTAACCATCCGACGAGGGTTGCCACAAGTCACCAAGCTGTAAAAGCCACAGCAAGGCCGAGTGCAGGGGACCCAGGGATGCGTGAGGGACGTTCACGTGCCCGACGCATCCCAGGGCAGCCGCCCGCCGCGCGTCATGCCCAGCTCGCTGGCTTAACCCCTTCTCCTTCTTTCCCTTTCGCCCCGGGAAGCTCCCTGGATTGTGAGTGCTAGAGTGTTGTTCTGAGGATGGCTACCGTAGCGTGCGTCGCTCTTGGTAAAAGCGAACTGCCCTAAGTTACTTAGAAAGTCTCTCGAGTGGTGTGTTGGGGTAACGTGCCTGTGCACACGGTGCCAGGTGATGGCGTGTCCCTGGCGGAGGCCTCCCGTGGTGGGTGAGGAGAAGCGTCACCCCTGGTCACCCGGCCACCTCCCGCGGGTCCACTGCGCCCGTCTGCATCTCCCTGTTAGATGCTGCTGCCTCCGAGGACGCTCATTCCTGGCAGCCGCCCGCTCTCCCCTCCCCAGGGGGCCGTGGGGACGGAGAGCGAGGCTCCGTGCCTCCCCTACGAGGGTTTGGCCCTGGCTTTCCTTGGGCGACACTTAGGCTTCGTGAGGCTGAGAGGTGGGCAGCCTTCCCGGACTTGCCGTGGGCCTTCCTGCCCCGAGGCTGCTGGGCTCCCGGGCCGGGGACGGAGGGTGGGGCCCGTCTGGGGAGGGGGACCCCTCGTCTCCAGGTTTAGTCTCGAGACTGGCTCCTGTGTTGCTTCATCCTGTGGAACCGCCTGTGGCGGGGGGTCAACTCCCTCTTCCCTCCTCCTGGAAGTCAGCGCGCCCTTCCTTCTGGGAGGAGACTGGGTCGCCCAGGGGGGCAGAAAGTGGAACCAGACGTCATGGGTTATGGGTTCCTCCCCCCCGGTTCCTCAAGGACTCTGGTGACTAAGAGCCCTTTCTGAAGCGCTGCCTCTGTGTCCAGGCCAGAGCTGGGGGGGCTGCTCGGACGGTGGGGAGCGGAGAGCGGGTCCCTGCCTTGGGTGAGACAAGGTGTAGCACACGTAGAAAAGTGACTCTGATGCTAAAAACAGCCCAAGAGAGAGGACACGGGGCCTGGTGGTGCTTCCGGTGGAGGCAACCGGTGTCCCATGTTCTTGTCCCGTCCTAGGAAGAGTTCAGAGACAAGACGTAGTGGTTAAAAAAAGTAAAGTGAGGATTTACTAAAGGATGGACAGTGCACTCTCGCTCAGGGGAGCGGCTGCCCTGAGTTTCTTTGGCAAGTTAGCTACACAGGGTGTGAAAATGAATGGGTGGAATATTCACTGGGGAGGGAAGGGTCTGGGGTCATACTCCCTGATCATCACCCCAGCTCCACCTTCCCGTGGGGAGGAGGGGTTTCTGTCCTCATTTAGTCTGGATCGGAAGTGTCGCAGCGTCGGTGTGTGATGGGTACTTCTGATCTGCAAGGCTAATTTTACTGAAATGAGGGCATAATGAGCAAAAGGTTACATTCGGAAACTGGAGATTCCTGCCTTTTCTCACCTTTCTTTGTCAGTTTCCAGGCCACTCACCCCCCCAAAAGGTGTGGCCCCTTATCAGCCCGAAGGTTCCTGCTTTTCTTTCTCTGCCCAGGGACCCTGGTGCTCACATGGTGTGTGGTGTCCTGCATTTGGCCCGTGCCCCTCCTTTCTGCCCCATTCCTGCCATGTGGCCTGTGTCCCCCTCTCTCTGCTCATGTCTAGCTGTCTGCTGCTCTAACAGAGGCAGAGAGCCTGGATTTGGGGGCTCACAGGTGGGCCTGAGCCAGACACACCTGGACCAGATGTTTGGACGAGCCTCTGTCCTGCTGGTCAGCGCCTGCTGGGCTGCGTGGCTCTGCTGTCTGGAACTGAGGATCTGAGGGGGGCGAGCACGGTGGGCTGAGCGGGCAGGGACGGCTTCGTGGGCGTGGAAGACACAGCCTCAGAATTCATGATCTAGGACTGCTTTCCATGAACCCCCAGTGAGAATTCTCAGAATATTTGCTACTTTTGTTTTTTTTTAGGCTTCCTGAATCACCTTCGGGGATATACTGTTTTCTTCTAGCCAGGAGTCCTCCCTGGTTGTTCAGATACAATGAACGTGTCTTTTGGGTGTGACATGCCTAGTACCTTTGGACAGACTTGCCTGGCAGGACAGGTTGGCCAGGAATCTCTTGAATGTCCGTGCTTGGGCTTCTCCCTTGTCCATGAAACAGAGTATTTCTGTTTATTTGTGGGGCACATCTTTGGCTATTTCATCCATCTGTCCATCCACTTGGCCACCTATCCATCCATCCACCCACCTGTTCATCCACCCATCCATCCACCCATCCATCCACCCACCCATTTACCCAATCCATCCATCCATCCACCTATTCATCCATCCATCCTTCTGCCCACACAACTGCCCATCCAACCATCCACCCATCCATCCGTCTACCCACTCATCCACCCATCCTTCCATCAATTCATCCAACCAGCCACTCAACATTCTTTAAATGCCTACCATGCTCCAAGCATCACGTTCAGCTCTAGGAATACAAGAATGAGTAAGGTTCAGTCCATGTCCTCAGAGAGTGCCCATGTGGTATGAGAAGCAGACTGCAGACACCCAGAAAGTTCAGGTGGAGTCATCATTTCCTTTAAAGGCCAGAGGGAAGGGCCTAAGGCATGTCGCATCACAGAATATGGCATGAGCAAATAACAGTAATGCATTGCTTGGATGCACAGGCTCGGTGAGGTGGCGTTAGGACTGAGTACTGAGGAAGGCTGAACACTGGCTGGAGAGGAGGGAAGGGCCTTTTGGACAGAGCCAACAGCCTGGACGGGGGCGAGGGCCCGGACTGGCTGGGATGGCGCTGGGAGGCAGCAGCGAGCTTCAGAGTTGCCGGAGTCTGCACTGCTGGAAGGGGGAGAGGGGCTGGAGGGGGACCAGAGGCCGCTGGGGATTGGAGCACCTCGTGTGTCCCACACAGGACTGCCCTGTGCTCACGAAGGACAGTAAACGGCCAAGGAGGATGGTTCTGTGGACTCAGCTTCCACGCCCTGCGTGGCATCCTGGCACGTCCACAGCCGCTTAAGAGGAGGATCCGGGAGCAGAAAGGGAGGACGGCCCCATGCCACGTGCTCGGAGCCCCCGAGAGAGGGACAGCCCACCCTGAGAGCCCGCCCGGTTCCCCTGCACCCTGACCTCGCTCCTTCCCTCGGGGGTGGGTCCCTCCTCCACAAGGCCAGTCCCCTTTGTTTTCATCCTCCGTCTCCGTCTTCAGCATCAGGGGAGTGAGGAAGACGCCCAGGGGTGATTCTGGCCCCGACTGAACAACTTCAGGAGGAGGGCGAGGGGTGGCCCTGGTTTCACAGACTTGCTGGCCTCGGGCCAGCCACGGCCCTTAAACAGAGCGTCTAAGAAGATGTCCCCTGGGCTCCTTCTGGCCTGGGGGTGGTGTGGTGCCAGCTTCAGCAGGGCTTCTTGTGCAAGACTTCTCCCCTCCCCTTCTGCCTCCCCCCCTGCTCCATCAGCCCGTGGTGCAGCCAGCAGTGGCTGAGAACCACCCTGTCCGCCCGAGCAGAAGAGGACCATGGGCCTCAGGAGCGCTGCTCCAGTTACCGCGTGCTTCCCAGGATAGCACGGTCCGAGTGACATCATTCCCTTACGATGCACGTCCTTTAGGTCAGTTCCACACAGAGGGCCGTGGACTCCCCTGACTGGTGTTTTGGTCCTTACTGTCATGGCCTCTAGTTCAGACGCACACGTTCCAGGAGCCTGCTGTCTCGTTCTGCAGCACTGGCACGGGGCGGGGGGCAGGGCAGAACGCGTGGCCTCTCCGTGGCTCTTGGAGCCAGGTGGGGGTGACAGAGACCCCGCCTGCTCATGCCTGCCGACCACCGGAGGCCCAGCAGGGCGTCACCACTGCCTCGGGGGCGTCAGTTACCCAGCGTTTGCTGTACCTCACGAGGCGCTGCAGACACTTTTCCATTCATCCTTCCAAAGCATCCAGCCATTGGTTTTTGACAAACACTCACTCAGTGAAGTGCCCTGTGGTCAGTGCTGCGAGGGACAGATGAATTGTCACCCCTGGTGGAGAGTGAGCTCAGAGCGGCACGGGGCAGGCCTGGAAGGAGGTCTGGAGGTCGGAGCCCGAGACGGGAGGCTTAGCGGACTCACCTGGAGGTCAGAGGGCTCAGCCAGAGGACAGGGCGCTGCAGGGCCAGGAGCAGCATGAGGGAATGTCCACATCCCTGCCACGTCAGCCACACGACCACAGAGCAGCCATACCCCAGCACACGCACACGCGCATGCACACAGCTCTGCAACAGAGCGATGCTACAAAGGCCCCCTTGTTCCGAGCGCAGTTCCAGGACTTGCTTGCAGATGCGTCCAGCTTTGTTGCAACAAGATTTGTCAGGTTTTGAGTGGGCTGGTGCTGTGTGAGTCGCCTGCTGACAGAGGCTGCTCCTGAAATCCAGCGGTTCCTTCCAGTCTGGTTCAGGCGGAGGAGGCCTGACTCCCTGTAGGTCGGCGCCCATCCTGGGGTGCAGGGGTCGCCTCCCGGGCGGGGCTTCGGCGACTCTGGGGGACGCAGGTGCCGCCTCTTGGGCTCTCTGGCTGTGGCGACACCCTGTGGCCTGACTTGGAACTGCACCCTGGTTGTGGTGGTCCCTGCTCCGCGGCTGCTGGCCCTTCTGCCCTTTATCCTCTGTTGCTGCCGCTCTCCTGTTCTGCTTTTTCTCCTTTTCTCCCCTGTAGGCTCGGCTTTGCAGCTGGAGAGGCCGGTTCGCTTGCCCTTGGGGAAGTACTTTTTCAGGCCGGGCGAGATGCCTCGAGTCGCAGGAAATCCGTGCTTTGGGGGATGGCCCTCGCCAGCCAGAGCCGGCTTTCTGCCCGTGTAAGTGGAGCGTGCTTTAGGAGCGAGCCCCTCTTCGCCAGGGGTGCCAGGTGGCGGCAGTGCACGGGGACAGAGGGAGCTGGCTCGCCGTGGTTGGGCAGGGTCTGCCAGCGTGGACAGAGAAGGCTGTGCGGACAGGCCCTGGTTCTGGGGCGGTGGGAGTGTGTTCTGTTTGTCCCCTGGGGCAGAGGGGTGTCTGTAAGGACAAAGGCGGGTGGTGGTCTGAGGCCTGTTCAGTGTGCCGAGGGGAGGGGTGTGGAACCAGCCAGACAGCCCCGGGCATAAATCCTCGCTTTGCCTCTTAAGAGCTCATCTGATTTTAGGCAAATCACCCGGAACTGTTCTCTCCTGTTTCTGTTTTCTGGTACAGTGAAGCTACGAGATGGGGAGGGGACAGGATGGGTCCCTCCGTGCACATTTTTTAAAGCTGCCCTTTGGTGAGTGTCTCTGTGCTGGGCGCAGCCGTAAGCTCCCACCGAGGACCATTTCGTGAAACCCTTGCAGCAGGCCCGTGCGGGGTCCCGTTGTGGTCCCCGCTGCACACGGGTACGCCACCTGCTGGGTGACCTGGCCGCGAAGCGCAGGGGCAGGATGGGACCCAGGGTGTCCAGATGGACACTGAAGTGGGATCGCAGCCCCGTGTGGCCGCGCCTTCCCGGGGTTTGTGGTTCTCTCCAAGGCTGGGCGTCTCTTCTGAAAGACGGTATGTTAAGGTCCCTATTTCTCCTCCTCCTCCTCAAGCTTTTCTTCCTTCTCCGCCCAGTGTCTGCAGGGTCAGGAAAGGAGGAGGGACGCGCCTGTGGGCTTGAGAGAAGTTGGAGCTGATCTCTGGATCTCTGGAGGCCGCAGGGCTTCCCGGGGCCCACGGTGGCCACCTCTTACCCAGAGCAGGGATCTCTGGGCCGAGCTGCCATGAGGGCTGGGCAGGACGCACCAGCCAGGCGACATCTGCGTCCTCAGACAGGCTTCTGAGCTGGGTGCTGGGGATTCAGACCAGCTCCGCCCTTGGGGAGGGTTCCCTGACCGCCCAGGAGGCGGACATGGGCATCTCGGCCATACTCCACCCCAAAGGATGTGGGCACAGGGGGCTTGTAGTCAGGTGACTGCACTGGCTCTTAGGGGGTATGAGTGGCTGGGCGGGGGCGGGGGACCCGGGATGGAGGAAGGGCAGGCTTGTGGGCTGAGACAGGGCGTCGGGGAAGAGAAGTGAGGCTCAGTTGGGGGCACACACTCCATCCTTTCCGGAGAGTGGATGAGGGGGAGTGGGAGAGGCTGAGCTGGCCCCGGCGCCTGCGTCGCCTTACAGACCGCACCAGCCCTGGCCCTGCTCGCCACCCCGTGGGGGCCTCTGGCTTCGCCACGCGCCTGGGTGGGTACTGAGGGAGGACCAGCCCTCCACAGACACTGCGGATGAAGCAGGTACTTGTCCTGCCACCGGGCCCAGCCTGGCCGCGTGAGTGCTCCCTGGCCCGTGCCCCAGTTCAGGGCTGTGGTTTTGTGTGGAACCTCCCCTTCCCCATCCTCCCGGTGTCCAGCCTGCCGTCTCCCTGCCCTCTCCCCAGGCTGGGCCCACGCCAGCTGAGGACCCATCGTGTCCGTTCCAGAAGACCCACCTGTCTTTGGGACAGTCAGGACCCCGATTTTAATGTTAGTTTCATCTGCCTTTGAACTGGAGGCAGGCAGGGGCGGCGATGAAAGAACAAAAGACGGTGTTTACTCAGCTCCCCGTCCGGCGTCCCTGAGTGTGGTACTGAATATTCCAGGAATCTCTGAACTGATTAACTCCTGATTGCACCTGCGGCTTCTGCAGGGCGGTCACCTGGCGGCCCGGACTAGTTCGGCATCTCAGCTCTCGTGGGTGTGCTGGCCCCGGGAGCCCGTGCCACCACGTCCCGCATGCCCCGTGGCCCGAGGGTTACTGGTCTGGAAGGCCTTTCGGCAGCTAGATGACATGGCACTTGAAGGACTGCTGCTCAGTGCCTGCCCCCGTCTCGTCCTGATACCACTGCTTCTCGTGGTGCCAGGAGACTGTCGTCCCCCCTCCCCCACCCCAGCTCTCTCCACATCTGAGACTGAAGGAACAGAGAGGGCTGAGGAGAGGCTGCTGGCCGCAGGCGGAGCTTGTGCCAAAACGCTTGTGTCCGGTTGGTTACTTGGGCCGCTGTTATTTTCTATGCGCACGTGCGCCCGCGCATGTGTGTGTATGTGTGTGTGTGTGTGATTTACTGAAACCCTTTCTCTTTCTCATTTCTCCCCCCTTTCCTTCCCTGATTTAGGTTTCTTGAGATCCAGAAGCCCAGGCTCTGTAAGTTGCTCCGTATTCTGGCCTTCGCTTATCCCTACACCTGGGATTCCCTCCCCATCTTCTCCAGGGTAAGGGCCCGGCTCCATCCCCTCTCTGCCTGTTGGCAACACCAGGCAATCAACTGTGTCCTGAGCTCTGGGGGTCAAAGCACTGTCCTGGTCACAGTAGGACACGTGGGAGTTGAGCCCCAGCTGCTTCCAGAATGACACTTGCAGACTAGTTAGCAGATGGCATGAACACAGAGGCCAGTCAGTGGCCAGTGCTGACCAGGGACCCTGGAGCAATCCTGGAGGGCTGGGCAGAGGAGGGGCCTGAGGTTTAGCAGAGCAACCAGGAGAGCAGGCTCTGGAGGCAAATCTCTAGTATTTATTCCCCACAAGACTTTGGGCAAGTTGTCTGTCGTCTTGGTGCCTTGGTGGTTAATAACCTCCTTTCCTCAGCTGCGGGGAGGATCACACGAGACAGTGTGGACAGTGCTGGCACGTGGCAATATTCCTGTGGATACGTCGTCATCTAGTCTCCTCAATTCACGTATTAGTAGTAATGAAAGAAAAAGTATGAATGAAAGTCTTAAAGGACAGATGGGAATTAGATGAAGAACACGAAGAAGAAAGTCCATGTGTTCTCAAATCAGATGGGCCTGAGTTCAAATCCCAGTCCCTCTGCTCACTGGCCCTGTGACCTCAGGCAATGCACACAACCTCTCTGAGCCTCAGTTTCCTCCTCTGTAAATGAGGCTGATGTCTCTTCCTTCACAGAGGGCGAGAGGGGGTTCATCAAAAAAGAGATCTGTGGGCTCAGCAGTGCCCGGCCCAGGCTCCCAGAGTGGGAGTCCCCTCCCAGAGGGAGTCTGAGCTGAGACGGCAGGGCCGGGTGAAGGAGAGGC